GCGGACTTACCAGGTTCGGCGGGGTCGACATGGGCACGGAAGCAGTGGGCACAGCGCTGCTCATTCTGAGCAGGTCTCGCTGTCGGCGTCGGGGCGGCTGTTGCTCCTTTGAGGCAGAAGGCCGCCTGCCCAACAGCGGCCGCTGGCTGTTTTGGACCACGCTCGATGTTGGGCATCGTGCCCATTCCTTCCGTAACCACTGCGGGCGTGCAACTTGGTGTCTGCCCGGCGCCTCGCGAGATTGGGGCTGTCGGTGTTCCGTGCGCGCTGGCCGGCCAAACCCCGCACCTGGTGTGAGCGAAGCGGCGCCTCGTGTGCCCTTCCCCCGTCAAGCGCCAGGGCCACCCACGCCGGAGTCGGGGACGCTGCTGCCTCACCGACACCAATCAGGAGGGGAAAAAACACACAGACACAATTAATCGTCGATCCCCCCAAAAATATGGGAAAGTATGGGAATTGGGCGGGAAAACAAAAAAACAGAAAATATGGGAAAATATGGGGAACCCTTCTATTTGTGTGTAGTTATTTGTGTGTCCTTGGGCCCCTTGAACCAAGCCTGGCCCGCCCAGTCCTGGCCGCGGGGCGCCCTGCCCGCGGCGCCGCCGCGCGTGCGTGCCCCCCGCCTCCCCCCCCGCCTTCCGCGGCCGCCCGCTCCTCCCCCTCCTCCCCTCTTCTCCTCCCCCTCCTCTCCTCCTCCCTCCTCCCTCCCCCTCCTCCCTCCCCCTCCTCCCCTCCTCCCTCCCCCCTCCTCCCCTCCTCCCCCTCCCCTCCCTCCCCCCCTCCTTCCGCGGCCTTCCCCTCTTCGCCTCTTGCCTACGGGACATCTCGCAACGCCGCAGCTCGGTTTTGCACCGCGCGCGAGCGGATCGCCCCTGCCGCGCCGCGGCGGAGGAATCTGGCAGCCCTGTTCGGAGTTGTCGGAGGCTGTATCACATGCGTGAGAAACCATGTTCCTCATCTTCCTCCTCACAAGGTGTGTGGCTTTGGCTGGCCAGGCCTGAGGGGGTCAGCGGTGCCCCCCTGGAGGCTGAACTAGTACCGCCGAGGGCTAATCATTGCAATGCAATCGCGACACAAAAAAAAAACACGGGCAACAGTAGAGGCAGTTTCTGAAATCGGTGATGACATGAACGTCGAGTTCGAAGATCATAGTTTCGCCACCCCAAGGGACAGCGCGGGTGATGCTAGAACCTGTCGGCGGGTGGTTCCCGCCTGAGTTTGTCCCCTTACCGACCAGCCCGACGCTCTTTGTAATTCACAAGCCATTGTGGGATCGGGCGTAGTCCGGATCATATTTTGCGGAGGTGCGAGACTGGACTGGATTGGACTGGTCGCACTCATTTGCAGGCCGTTCAAGTTTCCGCTGGCGACGGCGCAGCCATCTCGGAATATGTCACATGTTTAGTGCTAAGTCTGATGTGTTTCGTGCAACACACATTTTGGTGTTTTTATGTTTTACAATCCGGCAGGCCACGGCGCAACCTGTCTCGCAGACTCTTAAGCGACCGACGCCCCACGTTTCAACCGCTGGCGCAGTCTATGCGACCGTGGCGCAGCCTATGACGCAACTCATGGCGCAGCCTACGGCGCAACATGTGGCGCAACCTCTCATGGCGCAACCTATGTCGCAACCCATGGCGCAGCTTACAGGGCAGCCTATGGTTCAATCGTGAAGCAGCCGGTATTGTACTTTCCCGCGGCGCAGCCTGTGTCTCAACCCATGACCCCTTTTGTGGTGCAACCTGTGTTGCAACCTGAGGCGCAGCCTGCAGCGTCAGCCCATGGTGCAGCCACTGAATCAACCTATGGGCGCAACCGAGGGAAGCGCCATCTTAGGATAAATGGTGGAGGAGCAAGAGCAGGAGCAGGAGGAAGACGAGACCAGCGACAGCCGAAAACAAAGACGGAAACGATGAGGCCGATGAGGATCAAATTGGTCGTGCTCCATCGCGTTTGGTTGCCAGGCTGCGCCTGATCTATGCTCGCAGTTTGGGCTGCGTGATGTTATATCATTGCATCAGGCGTCGTCTGTGCGGGATAATCCTCGCATCTGGGGTTTTCCAGCAGAAGTGATTTGTAAGTGGTCTTCGTTTCACATGACAGCGTATAGGCGTTGGCGCGTGCGCAGGGTCGGTGCGCATGTTCGTCGTCACCGTCTTTGTGCTTTCGTCTCTCTTCTCATTCTTCCCCTTCTCGCCATGGGGGAGCCGATTGTGGAATTCAATGCGTGTGCTGAAGGCGTCCCTTACTCGGTATGGTCCAGCTTGGGGGACGTATCATGGTCTCTGTCGGAAACGAAAGGTTCGTGTTCGCTGTGGGGTTATCCCGCTTGCCTCTTCGACAGTACAGCTTGCAAGTTTGACACTATCCGCGATAGGCGCTCGCCTGAGCTGTGATTGCTCTGCTGCAGAGCCCCCTGGTAATGTTGCTATCATGACTATGTGACGTGAGTTTTTGAGCGTCGAGGAGTTAGGACGAATGAAGACTGACAAGGAGTGAAGAAACAATCGATTGAAGCATTGATTCTTGCATTCTAGGGCAGCTTTGCCCTTACATACCGGGGCAGTTCGGCGTTTTGTTATTCGAGCAATCAAAAAGCGTTTTTGGTCCATAAACCTCGTTTGGGCACCAAAAAGTCAACAACACAACAGGCAACCCACACACATGTGATGATACCCAGCACATCGCATCACAGGTGTTCAGCCCTTCGGGTTTTCCCAAAACCCAATTCCGCACACTTGAAACAACCAGAAATCGTTACTTTAAGAGCCATTCATACCATTCGGCAGTTTAAACAAGTTAGAAGCCCTGGCATTCAAAACCGACTGCCGATACCAGAATTTCTTGGGTCCACGGACCCTGTGAGGGTGCCAAACATACAAACCACAAAACAAGCAAACACCAGCGCGGGTACCAACAACACAACACACCAACAGTGTTCTGGCCTCGGGTCTTTTTTCAGGCCCAGCCAGTCCAGATTCTCCCAATCAGCTCGTATGCCCCGAAACGTTGTTTTCTGTGTGCAGCCTCAGGTTCTTGTTCTTCTCTGGTGTTCTGGTACCCTCACAGGGCTCGTGGACCCAAGACGGTAAGGTTTTCTGATCGTGTTCTCTGTAAAGGGTGTTTGGTTGTTTTTAAGTGTAGGGCATTCTTATCGTTTGAAAAGTACGCTTTCATGTACGTACACATTTGCACACAATGTTTGAGGTACGTGTAGGGGTCACTATTGTTTTTATTGGTAGGGGCTCCGATGGGCGAGGTAAAGGGTCAGGCATATTTGCGTAACTCCGATCCTCGATGATTTCGTGTTTCTCTTGCTTCTGTTTCTGATCATTCCTGTAGTTCATCTATCCCATGGTCTTGTTAACTTGCTCGTAGCATACCACTATCGTCATCTTCCAGGTGCGATTTGATGCTCATTCAAGCGGTGCGGATAACGTAGTATGAAAAGGTTAGTTGCTATGCTGAGGAGGCGCAGCAGGAGGAGGAGAAGCATGCAGATGACGAGGCATATGAGTTTGGCGACGGCAGTGTTGATCTGGTGATGATGATGTTGACTTTGATATTGATGTTTATTCTGATGAGGCAGATGATGTCAGGATGGACCTGAAACATATTTTGACCTGGGTGTCTAATGTTCTGGGAATGTTAGTTGGGGTTCATATCGATCCCCCAGAACATTATAAACTTGGGTTTAGAATGCCCGGGGATCTTAAGAGGGTTCTTTCATGTTTCCCCCCGAACACTGTGAACCTGGGTTTGTAATGTTTTGGGGCCCCATCTCCGGAACCCCAATACAATCCATTCTTTTTATTATGTTGGAATGGTATTAATGATTTGTTGCCCCGACCCCCCCTTCACCAGGAGAGATTCATTATGCTCTAACACTTAATTTCCTATTATCCAGAACATTATACACTGTGCATCGAGCGGGTGGTGGTCGGCTTGGTTCACTCTTTATGCCTTTCTCCCAACCCAGGCGCCTCTCAGTGAGAACATCAAATGCGGTTTCTTATTCCGGAATAGTAAACCTAGGTCTTCCTTCTGGAAAATAACAATGGATTTTGTGGGGGGGGATCGACATGTCCGCCATACGATAACGACTTGACGTTCAGTATCGAATGATAATAGACCAGGGCTTATCGTTCCTACATCGTGAACCACGGTCGACGAGGATTTCCGAGGCACCCTTCATGATGTTGATGATGATGTTGATGATGATGATGCTGATGATGATGTTGAGGATTTTGAGGTTGGGGAGGAAGAGGTGCAGGCTGGTGATGAACATGATGAATCACATGACGGGATGATGAGGTGGATCATGTTGAGGAAAATGGGAACGAGCAGGTGATGAAGGGGGTGAGGCCTAATAATCGGAATGTTGAGGAGCAGGAAGATTATCATGATAATGAGGAGACAGAGGAGGAGCAGGTGGAGGAGTGGGTGGAAGAGGAGGAGATGGATAATGACTCTGATTAAGATGATCGGGATGATCAGCAAGCGGACGAGGACTAGGATAACCAGCAATCCGATTGCTGTTATGACGACGAAATGAACAGGGACACGAAACAGGTGGACGAGGATTCGGATGTTGGTGGTTAGGACGTTGATCGTATTGGTGAGCACTGAGCTGGAGGAGCATGTGGAAGAGGACTATAGTAAGCATGGTGAAGGTGATGGTGATGATGGTGGGAGGAGGAGGAGTTGGAGATGGATCAGTAGTGGTAGTTTGATAGGAAAGATAGGGTAGGATGCGCAGCCCGATGGTTCGACTCATGATGACTATGGAGAGCATGATGCAGAGGAATGGTACGACGATGATTTGATGCAGAGGAATGGTACGACGATGATTTGATGCAGGAGCGGCAGGCGGATGATGACCAGGAGGAGCACACCATGCCACATGAACTTAGATCTCCTCCCACCCCCCACCGAATCACGACACGCGATAGCTCAAGCAAGTCAGGGCGGGCGGTGGCCCCGCCCGATCGCTTTGACAGTTCCTGCTCCTCAACTTGGTGCTTGACACTCTGGTGAGCGCATACAAAGACTTTACCGAGGCGCACTGGCCCTCGCACCCGCGGGAAGGGAGGGATGGGGGAGCGGGAGGTATCGTGCTCGATTGTCTAGTCGAGCTCGCCCGCTGCACGTCATGCTGCTGAAGTGTGGACAGCGGCAGGATAGGAAGGCGATGCCCCATCTGTGTCCTTGCTGTGTGGTCAGAGGTTGACACCAGCGCCGAACAGGAGGAAGCGGGGGGCTACAAGTAGTAGGCAGGGGTGGTTCGTGCCGAGAAGGCACCAGGAAACCCTGCGATTGTTCCGAACCCTGCGAACACGATACCATCATGCTGTCCATGTTTGACCGAGCAGTTGCGTAGTTGTAGCATTTTATCCAGATGGGAAATCAGTTCGAGTTATGATGTGGCATGTGGCGATCGCAGTGATTACTTGCGTTTTTTCCTGCCGTTTTCCCACTCCCTCTATGCCGTCCTCCCTCCTCTCTCCATCTACCCCGGATGTTGGTTATGCTGATGAAGATGGTGATGTTGATGTTGCTGATGAGGATGATGTTGATGATGATGGTAATGGTAATGGTGGTGATGCTGATGCTGCTGATGATGATGCTAACGAGGATGCTGTTGACGATGCTGATTCTGATGATGATGGTGCTTGTGCTGATGATGATGATGTTGCTAATCATGATGCTGATGCGGTTGCTGATGATAACGATGATGATGATACTGATGTTGAGGAGGCTGATTGTTGTGTTGATGCTGATGATGGTCATGATTCTGAATATGATGATGATGGTGAGGATGATGCTGATGATGATGGTGGTGATGGTGGTGGTGAGGATGCTGCTTTTGCTGATTGTGCAGATGTTGTTGATATGCTGATGCTGATGCTGGTGATGATGATGATGATGATGATAATGATGATGGTGATGCTGATGCTGATGCTAATGATGCTGATGCTGATGCTGCTGATGATGATGGGTGCTGATCATGATATAGAGGAGGTGGAGGATGCTGCTACTGCTGATGATGATGAGGCTGATGATGATGATGCTGATGATGCTGATGATGATGATGGTGATGCTGATGATGATGATGATGAACACGCTGATGCTAGGTATGATGTACTGCTGATTGTGGTGGTGGTGGTGATGATGATGATGATGATCATGGTGGTGATGATGATGATCATGCTGATGATGATGATGATGATGTTGATGATGGTGGTGATGATGATGCTGATGATGACGATGATGATGACGATGATGATGATTATTATGATGATGATGATGCTGCTGATGATGATGATGCTGGTGATGATGATGATGATGATGATGATGATGGTGATGGTGATGGTGATGCTAATGATGATGATGATGATGATGATGATGATGATGATGATGATGATGATGATGATGGTGGTGGTGGTGATGATGATGATGATGATGATGATGATGATGATGAGGAGGAGGAGGAGGAGGAGGAGGAGGTGGAGGAGGAGGAGGAGGAGGAGGACGAGGAGAAGCAGCAGGAACATCAGGAGCATCACCCATTGCCGACGGATGTGGGTCAGGATGGGGGGTTCCCCCCCTCCCTCCCTGAGAGCCCCCTGAGCGTCAGATACCTTCCCGGGGCCCCCCTGCACGTTAGTTCACGTCGACATTCGGCCTCGCCCCCCGCTTGAATCACGCGATTTGGACAAGGAGGGTCACCACGCCTCGTGATGACCCTCTTGATCCCAAGCGTGTGGCTTAGGAAGGGCCCGAGGGAGAACATCGACGTGGAGTGTCGCTCTGGGGGAGGACTCCCGGTGGTGGTGACCCCCCGTACCTCTATCCAGCCCACGGGAAATGCAGTGCCCGACAGAAGGAGAAGGAGGAGTTCGAGGAGGTGGAGGAGGGGAGGAGGAGGAGGAGGAGGAGGAGGAGGAGGAGGAGGAGGAGGAGGAGGTGGAGGTGGAGGAGGAGGAGGAGGAGGTGGAGAAGGGGGAGGAGGAGAAGGAGGATGAGGGAGGAGGAGGAGGGAGGAGGCGGAGGAGGGGAGGAGGCGGAGGAGGTGGAGGAGGAGGGCGGGAGGGGAGGGATGAGGAGGGAGAGGGGGGGGGGGCCACTGCCGCGGGATTGGACGGGTGGGTGAGGGGAGCAGCGACGGGGGAGGGAGGATTCTGATTCATCCAGTTGTCTTTGCCAAACCCCGCCACCGCGCTGGGGCAGCAGCGCAGCGTGAAGGACGTTGAGTGACATGCGCGCATTGGAGCGTCTCTGGGGCCTCTTGAGGGCCTCCTGGGAGCCTTTTAGTTGCGTTTGGGAGGCCTTCGGGGTCTGTAGTGGGACCTCTGGGAGGCCTCTTGGGGGTCTCTTGCCCCTCTTGGGGCCTCTCGGAGGCGTCTTGGGGCCGCTTAGGAGTCTCTTGGGGGCATGTTGGAGGTCTGAGAGGACAATGTTGCAAGAAACGGCTGTCAAGGCCAGCTCGAGTTCCCCCTCGGGCCCCTCTTGGGATGTTCTTGGGGCCTCTTGGGCCGTCTTGGGTGCCTCTTAGGCCGTCTTGGAGTTCCCCTGGCCCGTCTTGGAGCCCTCTTGGGCTCTCGAAAGCTCAGCAAGGGCAATACTGTTGAACTCTGTGTAAGCCCGCTGGGGACAGCAAGTTGTTTTGCTCTTGAGGTCCTCTTGGGCGTCCTCTTGGAGGCCTCTTGGGCCGTCTTAGGGAGCCTCTTTGGCCATCTTCAGACCATCTTGTGCCATCTTGAGACCCTCTTGGAGTGTCTGGAGGCATTCTTGGGTAGTCTTGGGAACTCCTTGGAGGCCTTGTGTCTGTCTTCGGGCGAGCTTAGCTACCTTGGGCGCATTTTTAGATTGTTCTGGCTGTTCAGTTGCGTTTTTCTTGCTGGTTTGATTTTTTTTGCTGGTTTTGGATGTTTTTACCCCCGTTGGCCGGGACCTCTGCTGGAAAATTGTTTCCAACCAGTATTTTGTTGTTTTTTGAATGTTACTGTCCGGGCAGTTTTTTGGGAAGACTCCAAACAGCTTGTCTGTAAGGGTCATGGTGGTCTGCCGGATCGGGAATCGGTCGGGCGATTGCGATGTGGCTTCCTGTGGCCTCTCGCTGGTTCCTGCACTTCTCTAAGGAATTCGTAGGTGGACTGCTGGATCCGGAGCCGGTCGGGCAATTGCGATGTGGTTCCCCGTGGCCCGACGGCCCCAGTGCTACCTCCCGCATGCGTCCCCCCACCCACTGGCGTTCCGTGACCCCGTAGCGAGCTCCACCGAAGGTCCCAGTGCTACCGCCCGCATGCGTTCCCCCCCACCGAACACAGCGCTTCGTGGCCCCATAGGGAGTTCCACCGACGGCCCCAGTGCTACCGCCCGCATGCGTCCCCCCCACTCAGTACAGCGTGGCCCCAATGGGAGCTCCACCGACGGCCCCAGTGCTACCGCCCGCATGCGTTCCCCCCACCCAGTGCAGCGCTTCGTGGCCCCATAGGGAGCTCCACCAAAGAAGATACTCACAATTGCGGTACTCACACTTGCATATGGTTGGGTCCTTTGCCAGGATCATTTTTTTGACAAGGATTGGGGGCGGGCTGGTCGGCATGGGTCCTGGTTGGCTGCCGGTCGTCTGGGCGAGGGGGTGTTTATGACAGGGAACAGTTATCAAGCTACTTACAAACCGGAATCCGTCCCACTCATTCCAACCCGCCCTTCTAACACATACGTAGCATCCGAGTCTCAGCACATGCGGCCGCCACTGGATGGGCGGCCACGGGGAACCGATACAGACGGCAGATGCGCGATGCCGGCAAGGTGCGCCACGCGTGCCATGCGCACCAGGTTCGCCAGGCGCCCCAAGAGCCCAACCGTGCCAGGCGCGCCTGGTGGGCCAGATGCGCCACGTGCTCCGTATGCTCCACATTCTCCAGCCGCGCCAGGTGCTCCAGCGCACGTTACAGCACACATCCGAAACATGTGGCCTCTTCCCACATAATACAGTGCAAAACTGCTGGTAGCTATCATGCTGTATGGTAGATGCAGCTGCGATCACTTGGCATTTGTTATCGTCAGGCGTGGTGGGCCCGCGTACACCAAGCAATACTAGGACCCCACACCATCCTTGTAAGAAACACTTCAGTCTGGTCTTGGGGCGCCCGCGCGAACTCCAAGATTTTGCCGCAACACGTGCATTTTTGTTTGTTTGTCAGGGATTGTCCAGTGGAGGTGGTGGTATGCTGATGGGTTTGCCGCTTATCGGGTGTGGTTTTTTATCAATAAGGAGGAGGAGGTGTCACCTCCTTTCCCGAATAAGGTAACATGGTTTGAAGAGGAAGCGCGCTAGATCGCCGTCGCCCAGAGGGCTGGTGGGAATGCATGCTCTCCGCTCGACTCATCGCGAGCATTGGGCCCGCGTTGCTTCGTTTCCACTTTGCCTCGTTCCCTAGAGAGTCTGCTCAGTGGCATCAGTGTGCTGCGCATTCGTCCTCTACCCTACCAGTCCTGCCATAGCCCCGCTCTCTCGTTTTCTCGCTCGTGGGCACAATTGCACGCTTCGGCTGTGCGTCTGCTCTGCCTCCCAGCAGCTGTCCTGGAGACCAGGGTGATCCTCTTCATGGCCTTCGTCCTCCCTCCTCCCCTCTCGTGAGTGTTTGGGAGGGGCCGGGCAGGCAGGAGGGGGGATGGCGTCCTGGCACACAGGCAGTGGGTTTCTTGACGTTGGGGCTGACACGGCAGGGCGATGAGCCCTGGCCAGCGTAGGCTCGTGTTTGTGGTGCGCCCGACGCATCCAGGCACTCGGCGAGGAGCTCATTGACCAGAAGAAGAATGGCGTCAAGGGGGCACCGCGACGCACGCATCGTTTCAGTGTTGTTTTCAATTGTGCCATACACCTTCTTCCCCCCACCGTTAGCGACATGCGGCTTGTGCAGACGTGGACGGATGACTTGACATGCAATGTGGTTACATGTTTCGTTGTGCGGTCTTGCGTCTTTATTCCTCGTCCTCTCCATGGTGCTTGTGCAGGCTAGGTGATCAGTACTTCGCATCCTCGGGGGAATTTCATATGACGCCATATAGGACGCTCCCAGGCCATGTGATACTACAAGATGCCACCGCAGTGGTGCGCTGCGAGATGCCACCGCAGTGGTGCGCGAAGCGGTTCGCATCGTGTGCGGCACACATGCGATTATCATGGACAATCTCGGTGTCTGGAGGTGGCAAGCGCCGGTGAGCAAGCTAATGATGATACACGCAAGGGCTCATCAGCGAGGACGAGAGATGGGCGGAGGATCAGGAGAGGAGCAGGACGAGGAGGAGGAGGAAGAGGAGGAGTATGAGGAGGAGGAGGAGGATGAGGATGAGGAGGAGGAGGAGGATGGGCAGGAGGAGAAGGAGGAGGAGGACGAGGGAGCAGAATTGAGGAGGAGGAGGAGGAGGAGGAGGAGAAGTAGTAGGATGAGGAGGAGCGATAATAAGGAGGAGAGAAGGGGAAAAGCAGAAATAGCAAGTGGGATCATGAGGCGCGGGCACGCGTCCGTCCCCTCTCCGCGGTCAGGCCTATACCACGCTCGCGAAGGCTGTGACCCCATGGGGTAGGGGGGGGGGCGGGGAGGCATGGGATCTGCCAGTTGCATGCGCACAGTGCGTTTATTCGTCAGGAGTACACGCTCTGATAGTCAGTTGTCTGAAGGGCTTCTCCCTCTGCGCCGTCCCCCTCTCATTGCTTGCGAGGCCACGCTTGGTTGGTAGGCTGGTACTAACGCGGAACGAAACTTGTAGTCGATTTAGTCATCACCCCGTGCCCATCTCTGACCCACAGCTTCGTCGAAGCTGTTGTGGGTGGGTTCAACACAAATTATCCCAGTGCGACCCTACCTAGGAGTTGGAACCCCTAGGAAAGCAGCATTGGTAGTAGCAGTAACGCTAAGCTAAAGCTAAGCTAAAGCTAAGCTAAAGCTAAGCTAAAGCTAAGCTAAAGCTAAGCCACAGCTAAGCTAAAGCTAAGCTAAAGCTAAGCTACAGCTAAGCTACAGCTAAGCTAAAGCTAAGCTAAAGCTAAGCTAAAGCTGAGCAACAACTGAGCTAAAGCTAAGCTACGGCTAAGCTAAAGCTAAGCTAAAGCTAAGCTAACGCTAAGCTAAACATAAGCTAAAGCTAAGCTAAATCTAAACTACAGCTAAGCTAAAGCTAAGCTAAAGTTAAGCTAAAGCTAAGCTAAAGCTAAGCTAAACGCTAAGCGAAAAGCTAAGCGAAACGCTAAGCGAAACGCTAAGCTAAAGCTAAGCTACAGCTAAGCTAAAGCTAAGCTAAAGCTAAGCTAAAGCTAAAGCTAAAGCTAAAGCTCCCAGGGGACTGGGGGGAACCGCGGGGCGGGGACTGGGGGAACCGCCCAGGGCGTGTAGCACTGCCCGGCCCCTTTAAGCTAACAGAGTAAGAGCCCTTCTAGGCAGAGCCTAGGTAGGGAAATATCGCGGCCCGCCCGCCCGGCGCGCGCGTCCTTCTGGGCGCCCCCCCCGGCCGGCCGGCCTCCTCACATCTTGTTGTTAGCCTAAGCTTAACGGACACCATCATATTCATTTGGCCATGCCATTGCTGTAAACATCACTTACATTGAAGATAAGCCGGATCTGGATATTACTACGGGAAGAAGATGTAGGATAACAATGACGTTACGATCGTGGTCACATTTAGCTTATCGACATGGCCAAGAAAGAGCTTACATCATCAATTCATTGGCGAAATACGGGTTACCAACCGAAATTGCAGTCTTCGACGAGAGTGGTTTTCTCAGATGAGGGAATTATGTTCCGACCGCCCAAGATGATGTACGCCCCAAAGCAGAACCGCGCCATGGAATGAGTGCGGATGTTCCTGATCAAGATTATGCCAGCTTTGTCGGGGAATCGAGCCGGCGTCTTCCTTGCAAAACCTGCTGGGATTTTCCATTTGATGACGAGCCTCGTCCTCGTATTCCGAAGATCAAGGGCACCGCGCGACCCGACCGAGACGGGGAAGATGATGCGGACCTCTTTCCACTTGATGACCAACCTGATGTCCCCATGCACTTTTCGGGCGGCGACCGCGACGGGGAGTCGATTTCGCCAGAGGAAAGTATTTCTTGCAGGTTAACGCCCAGGCCCGTCGAATGGGGGAGGTGAGGTCTATGACCGTGCTTTTCCTGCTCCATTGGGCGTTTTTTTTTTGTGGTAACAATATAAAAAACTTTTTTATATAAAATTTTGTCTGCGGGTGCAGCTCGCGTGCTGCGAGGATGCCGCGATTCCATCCAATGAGTCTTTGGAACGGAACTTGGAGGATATCATAGAGGAGGAGCTCGCGGGCGGTCCCATAAGGACGACGGGCAAGCAGAGACGTGAGCCTGTTAGTCTTTCGACGACCTCGCCATTCGGGAAGCGAAATAGATCTGGCGGCATCCTGGAGCACGGCCCTGCTTTCGCTCCGGGAAGAGCGCCCGGGAGCTATGCTGCTGGGTCCCGACCGCGCCTTCCTCGTGCGAGTCAGGGAGTGCCGACCTCAATGTCTGGGGCGCCTGACTTGCGTGCCCGCCCCCCCCGCGCGGGCAGACGCAGTGCCCCGGTACCGCGATCTGAGGTATCTGTTCTGTCCAACTTGCTGGGAAGGTCGAGCACCTTCAGCGTGCGCCTCAACGCCGAGCGTTCCAATTGCTGGCCGAGGTGCGCTGCAGTGCCAGACTCGCGGTGCCTGGCTTATCGGGCCAGTGCCAGAACCTTGTTTGTTCTGGGTGCTCTGGTATCTGCGGCCTCTGCGGCCTGAGCTTCTCATGTCCTCCTTGCGCCGCTCCTAGCTCGCTCGACCGCGCTGGGTTGCGCGCGAATGAGTGGCGCGAGGCTGAGGGAAGGAAGAGGTTTGTGAGAGCATGGAGATAAGGGGGAAAAATCTTGCTCAAATGCGTGCCCAGCTAAGGCATTCGGGGTCGCAACAACAAGCGGTTGCCGCCCTTCAGTCGTAGCGAGGCCGGGGGGCCATGGTAAAAGCCGCGCGCTGCCTGGAAGAGCGCCAGCAGGCGGCGGCGGCTGCTCAGCGGGCTTTCATGCAACAGAGGAAATTAGAGAGCTCGCCAACTGGTTGGAGATCACCGTTGCCTCCGAGCGACATGCACATCTCCAGGAGAAGCACCTTGCAGAGGAGGCGAGGTGCGCTTTCCGGGGGCCGGTGATGCTCAGCGAAGGACTACGTCGCAGGCTGCCAAGGAGCTGCAAGCTGCAGAGAATCGGAACGCGCGGCTAGCCGCAGAGGCTGCCGCTGCAATTAAGCTGGCCGAGACGAACCGCGTCGTCGCGGATGAGAGTTATGCTCGTTCCGAGGCGGAGGTGCCACGCGCCCGCGAGGAGATGCGAAGAGTCGAGGTGGCCGCGGAGGAGAACGTTGCAGCGAGTACTCGGGCAGCAGAACTGAAGGCCGCCCAGGTGGCGACGCGTTGGCAAGCCGAGCGGGACAGTGCATCGCGAGCTCGATCAGCACCAGGCGCAGTGGAACCCGATCGGAGATCGGAGCATCTTCGGCAACATCTTCAAGCACCGGGTTGGTGGCCCAAGCGAGTGCGGCGGCAGCGTCCACAGCGCCGTCGTCGTTGCCGACCGCGGTTGGGCGACCGGCCGCGTGCGGGAGTTGGGGTCAGAATTCCTGCGCGGGAGCTCTGTGGTGTTATCTGTGCTTCGAAGTGTCTACTCGCGACAGCCCCTCGCGCAATAAAGGCGCGTGCGACGACCGCTCTGCACTGGGTTGCGAGATGCGCGCGCGCCGATGCGGGAAGGGCTCGCCAGCTGAAATAATGAAGCTGAGGATCGACTTCAGGAGAAAGTATGCGATGAACGTCAGGCAGGAAAGAAACTTCAGGAACAGAGCGCCGCTGCGTCGATGCCGAGGGCGGTCTCTCGCGATGGATTTCTTCCGCTTGCGCGCGCCCAGCGCCGCGCCTCGGGCAGCGGTGGTCGCCGGGCCGAGAGCGTTGGATCGAATGGGTGACTTGAGTTTGAAGAAGCTGCAAGGGCGGAAAATGAGATTCGCAGAAAGCTCGAACAGGCGGTGCAGCGCGAACAGGGGAACGCCAGGATGCGCGCTGAGCGTAGAGCAAACATCCTAGAGGCGCGCGAGACAATGGCCGAGGCGGCCGCCGCCCTGGCGCAGGGGGCCCAGTGCAGGGGGCGAGGAGTTCAGCGCGAGGTCCGAGTGCTGAAAGGTTCGAATGCCGTCTCGGGGGCAGCTCGCGCCAGCATGGCGACTTCTTTCCTGGGATGCGCGCCTCCAGCGCTGGGGGGTTTACCGAGCATCTTCAGACGTAATGATAAGGGGAATGAGGCGACCCCCGAGGAGGGCACCGGTGCCGAAACATCCAAGCTAAAACCCTCCTGGTGATGACGGCGCAAGGGTGGCGATCGCGGCAGGAGCCAGGAGCGCCCCCCCGATCGGTCCAAAGGTGGTGGCAAGGGCCGCGATCGTTCCCGGAGCCGCGCCTCCAGTGCTAACTGAGAGAAGAGTGGCGCATGCTATGCATGTAGCCGCGGAGCCTGTCACTAGTCTGCCGAGAAATGCCGCCGCGAGCGTGGACAGGCCGCGCCCGGGGAGGAGCTCTCTCGCGATTGGCGTGAGGCGCGCGTGGGCAGGATAGACAAGTCCCTCCCCTGCAAGCGCAGCAAGGGCCAGATGTCTGCCCCGGCGCAGCGTGCGAAGAGGGGCGCCGCGCCCGCGCAGGGCAGCGACATGGGCAGGGCGAAGGGGAAAGGCAATAACAGAGTGGAAGCGACAATGCTGGAGGCACCTGGCCGGACAGCCTTGCCCGTTCGGAGAGGATTGTTGGGGCGGGGGCGACGCCCCTGGGCGCCCGTGGCCAGAGAGGCGCCCGCTCGGTGACTATGTCGCCAGCGCCAGCCCGGGCGGGGCTGAAGCTGTCTGCTGCTGCTTTGACCCGGCGATAGGGGGCGCTTATATTGGCCACTCCCGCAGTTCTCTGCGCTGGGCCAGGATTCCAAGCGCCGCCGTTAGGCAGGGCGCCAGCTTTCGGACGATGTTCCTATGGGGGTGGGCAGAGCACGGATGACCGCGCGATTGAACGTGGCAACATTAGCCTGGCCGCGCCGGCAAATGCGCAGCGCGGGGTCCAAGATGGCCTGCATCCAGGCGGGCGGAATCGTGGCGCTCCCGAAACAGGCCTTCGAACTATTGAGGGATGGGGGACGTGCGAGGGGCGCTCTATTGACGCGAATGTCTGAACGAAAATGCGCCCTGGTCAATGGGCAGCGGATGGTGCGCATAGAACCGAGCGCGCCGGGGAGAAACGCAGCGCGGTCGATGCCAAGTGCACGGGGGCAGTCTTTCGAGTTTCACCCCCAGTGGGCTGGGAAGCGCGCGCGAAAGGTGGAGATCCACGCGCAGCTGGCATTCGATGAAGCTGTGGCACTGGAACCGGAAGTCCGTCGCATGTGGGCTGGCGGGGGGCAGCTGTCCGATGGCGAGCGCAGTGGTGCCAGTTTTGGGCGCGATGGCGACTGGGTTGCTGCCGTGTCTGCTAGTGAACAACGGGCCCCGTTCGTCCTG